ATGTATATGACCTCCTGAGAACTTACATCCTTTTTTAGAACATTGTTTTATGGCTGGTTGTCCTTGTTTAGAGGAACTAGATTTGTTATCTTTTTTTTCCATTCTAAACGAAACATGTTAATTTTTTTTACTTTTAATTGTTTTTGATGGAGGTTCTATTATAACCAAATAGCTAAAAATGATAAATATATGTAAATGGTTCAATAACATTAGATCCTTTACAAACATCAGATCCATGTCAACCCAGTCTTTTGATCTTTTGTCGGCAAGATTTTAATTTTTTTTTTTTTTTTTACAATATTTAGCATTTCTTTGTCAGTTCGTCAAGAAAAATACTGTTGCACAAGATGTAACTGTATGACTCACATTATTATCTACTTTTGGTATTTTAGCTGCAGGACTTGTGCCAACATTCACAAAATAATGATTAAATCCATTTTTAAATTCATTCTGATCATGGATTTCATTGGCATCTTTTATAAAGTACTGTGGAATACCTGAATTTACTTTATGGTTTTTCAGAACACTATTCATCACTCCCCATGTTGCTTTCACATCACCATTACTTTTGTTTAATAAATCACTGTAATTTTCCTTCTTATGCTTTCTTATAATCCATACCCACTTAATACAGTATTTCAAGAAGCATGAATACAAGGAATAATTTATTTTTACAACCATTTCAACCCTTTAGTCATCCAATGTTTTGTCAACAATATTTCTTTGCACACAATTCTTTTTATACAGAGCTCCATTATAAATATGTATAGTGACTTCATCACCTCTTTTATTGCTTCTGTTTGTATATTTTATACCCTTCAACATGAAATTTATTTATATTTTCATCATYGAGCCATGTCTCTGAAAGTGTGATTGTATTAAAAGTAAACCAGTAGTAAACTAAATCTCTGTGGTTTTAGTTATGATGGAATTCATACAGAACAACTTGCATCATGTAAAGATGCCACTGTTGTGTACCTGCCCTACCAGGATGCACACAGACGTAGCCTTTATCCAGGAACCTTGGATGGTCAAGCCTCTGGTACAAGGCCTGGTATTTCCTGGGGGCACACTTTATRATGTGAGCAGCTGCAGACCCAGAGTAGTCCTGACAAGAGGCATGACATACTGCCCCACCTAACAGGTGCTGTAGCAGTGCAGTTAGACATTCAGTCAGATCCACAYCAATCATTGCAGCCTCTGTTTATCTGCCATTTGATTCACAGCCACCACAGGAGTTTATGGCAATTGTTAATTATGCTAAAGATTTTGGTTTTTGGACCCCCTGTTGCCTTCAGAACTGCTTTAATCCTTCATGGCATAGATTCAGCAAGGTACTGGAACCATTCCTCAGAGTCTGGTCCATTTTGACATGATAGCATCACACAGTTGCTTCAGATCTGTCAGCTGCACATCCATGATGTGAATCTCCTGTTCCACCACATCCCCAAGGTTGGACTGAGATCTGGAGACTGTGGAGCAATTCCAGTCTAGTGAACTCATTGTTGTGTTCAAGAAACCAGTCTGAGATGACTCGCGCTTTATGATATGGAGCATTATCCTGCTGGAAGTAGCCATCAGAAGATGGAACACTGTGGTCATAAAGGGATGGACATGGTCAGAAGATGGCACACTGTGGTCATAAAGGGATGGACATGGTCAG